CACTGTGTCTCCCCCTCACTCTGCAACCTGTCACCACCTCCCACACTCTTCCACCTGTCACCCCCTCCCTCACACACACTCTGTCACCCCATCCCTCACTGTGTCACCCCCTCCCTCCCTCTGCCACTAGTCACCCCACCCCTCACTGTCACTAGTCACCCCTCCCTCACTCCTGACCCACTCTGCCACCAGGTACCCCCTCACTCTGCAACCTGTCACCACCTCCCTCACACACACACTCTGTCACCCCATCCCTCACTCTGTCACTATGTCACCCCCTTCCTCCCTCTGCCACTAGTCATCCCATCCCTCACTGTCATTAGTCAACCCCTCCCTCTGTCACTAGTCACCCCTCACTCTGTCACTAGTCACCCCCCACTGTGTCTCCCCCTCACTCTGCCACCTGTCACCACCTCCCTCACACACACGCTGTCACCTGTATCCACCCTTGGACAAGTAGATTTTTACAAAAAAATATTCCACACCCCTGCACATGCAGACACACACTAACACTCAATACACATATACATTCACACTGACACTATACACAAAAAGTCACATGTAGTCATCCAGACATGCACAAGTGCATTCACTCAAATACAAACATGCATTGATACACAGGTCTTCACAAAATACACATCCAAAGGAATGCCGTATTATATGAGAGTTATATTTAACATTTATTGAATGCTTATATATTTGGCCTTCAAAGGGCCTGGGGCCCCAAATGCTCTCAGTCCGCCCCTGTATAGACCACAAATATATAATGATTGCAAAATAAGATATCTGCAGGCAGTGGCGTACTAAGGGGGGGGCGGAGGGGGCGGTCTGCCCCGGGTGCCACCACGGTGGGGGTGCCATGACCAGGAGCGCCGCCCCCCCATGCTGCAGCCGCCCGAGCGCTCTGTAGAGAGCCTCAGGCGGCTGCAGCTTTGCCCGGGCGGTGCGTCCATGAGGGTGGACCGCACCGCCCGGGCGCAGCATGGGGAGAGGGGGTGACAAGAGGGAAGTGCTCAGCACTCCCTCCCTGTAGCGTGGCCGAGCCCTCTATTGGTCCGCAGGTACAGGGAGCATCTGTCTCCTGTACCCGGCCGGACTAACAGGAAGTGCACACTCAGGTGTCTCTCAGTGTGCACTTCCTGTTAGTCCGGCCGGGTACAGGAGACAGATGCTCCCTGTACCCGCGGACTATACTGGGCTCGGCCACGCTAGAGGGAGGTAGGGGGGCAGGGGAGAAAGAGAAATTGGGGAGGGGGGGGCAGATTGACATTCATCACATACACACAATGCATTACACACACATACACAAGCAATGCAACCGTTACACACAATGCATCCCTTACAGACGCACACACTGTATCCCGTACATACACAGAAACACACCTTGCAGCCCTTACACATACAAACACAATTTCACACAATGCATTCCTTACACACATATCAGGACATCCCCTACACACTCCACCCCCTATGAACAAACTCATTGGTGGGACATGAAGGTGGACCCTGGGACCCAGACCTTGAGCTGTGTTGCAGGACCCCCCAAAAATGGAGCTGCTTCCCGTTCTCCGAGAACATTGATGTTCTGCAGCTAGAGCCCATCATCATCCTCATCTGGTTGTAAGTAGGCAATCTAGTATATTATTCATGGCACTAAGCTCTAATTTACCTCACATTAAAGAAACACTATAGTCCCCAGAACCACTTCAGCTTAATGTAGTGGTTCTGGTGTCTATAGCCTGTCCCTGCAGGCCTTTTAATGTAAACACGGCGGCACTGCAGCACTGGCGTTAGTTAACATGGCAAATCATATGGGTGGGGCATTGTGATGTCACATGGGGGGGTGGCAAACTTTACTTTTGCCTAGGGCGGCAAAAATCCTTGCACCGGTCCTGGCTGGAGTGCCCCAGTGCCCCATGGTAGTTAGGGTGCTGTGCGGCCAGTACAGCTCACACAAGCAAACAGCTGATAACCTGGACGCACGGAGGAAATGTGTATGTGTGACTGTCTGCCTGTGACTGTGTGTGACTGTCTGCCTGTGACTGTCTGCCTGTAACTGAGTGTGTGACTGTCTGCCTGTAGCTGAGTGTGTGACTGTCTGCCTGTAAATGTGTGTGTGTGGGGCTGCAGGGATTTTGTAGAAGGGGGCGGGGGTTTTGTATTGGGACAGGAGTCTTTATAAGGGGGGATAAGCAAGGGATTTGTGGAAGGGGTTGCGGGGGTTTTGTAGACGGGGCAGTACAGGATTTGTAGAAAGGGCAGGACAGAGGTTTTGTAGGAGGGGCTGACAGCGGTTTTGCAAAGTTTATAAATTCAAAAAAAAAAAAAAAGAAAGAAAACCTTTAATATTTTTTTACAGGTTTTTTTTTTTTCTTTGGGTGGGGTGCCAAGCACAGGATCCGCCCCGGGTGCCAAGCACAGGATCCGTGCCAAATGCTCTAGGTACGCCCCTGTCTGCAGGTTTTTTTTGTGCTTTTTTTCCTCTTCTTATTGTGCTTAGGAAATAAGCTAAGAAAGATAAAATGCTGACAAATACTCTCAATATTGTGTTTAGAACAGTGACAGTCACGTAGAATTGTATAGATCACGTAAACAGTTAATGTGGGGGATTTATAGATGGGCAATTTTGTTTACTGACTTCATTTTTGTTTTGTTACTAATGGCTTGATAGTGAGGAATTTTCCCTTGCCACGGCCTTTTGTATCAATTTGCAACTCTCTGTATTTCCCCAAACCAGCTGGCGAGGAGCCCCAATGAACGATACAAGACAAGGTTCAAGGTGACTTCTGACGAGCCGTGTAACCGATTATATACAGCAGGAAACAGGGGTGGTCATAACAAGCATTATCCAATCCTAATAAAATCATCTCTCTTATCTTAACATCATAACCTATAGCAAGCTTGCGGGTGTATATTCGGACCTTGCACAAAGCTGAGTTTCACTATAACTACACACGTCAAACTAATAAAGATATTTACTATGCAGTTATAATCAAAGGGGGAAACACAGGAAATAAGGCCGACAGACAGAAACATACAGGATGTAACACCTGTTACTTGTAACACAATGTTCTATAACTCTTGTCTAGGGTTATATTCACTAAGCATCGGATATAGATAAAGTATATTATTGCAAGTAACTGACATGCTCCAAGTTAGCCAATTTTAAACAGACTGAGCATCCAGTCACCTGTAGCTTGAAACTTGGGTCAGTATAGGCAAAGTGTATTATTCCCAACATGGCTGTTATTCAATTTTAGCCATAACTAATGTAAGGAAATCAGACTTTTGTAATTCGGAAAATCTTAAAGGGACACTATAGTCACCTGAACAACTTTAGCTTAATGAAGCAGTTTTGGTGTATAGAACATGCCCCCTGCAGCCTCACTGCTCAATCCTCTGCCATTTAGGAGTTAAATTCCTTTGTTTATGAACCCTAGTCACACCTCCCTGCATGTGACTTGCACAGCCTTCCATAAACACTTCCTGTAAAGAGAGCCCTATTTAGGCTTTCTTTATTGCAAGTTCTGTTTAATTAAGATTTTCTTATCCCCTGCTATGTTAATACCTTGCTAGACCCTGCAAGAGCCTCCTGTATGTGATTAAAGTTCAATTTAGAGATTGAGATTCAATTATTTAAGGTAAATTACATCTGTTTGAAAGTGAAACCAGTTTTTTTTTTTTTCATGCAGGCTCTGTCAATCATAGCCAGGGGAGGTGTGGCTAGAGCTGCATACAGAAACAAAGTGATTTAACTCCTAAATGACAGTGAATTGAGCAGTGAAATTGCAGGGGAATGATCTATACACTAAAACTGCTTTATTTAGCTAAAGTAATTTAGGTGACTATAGTGTTCCTTTAATATATGCATTTTCTTTATTATCCATTGGTTTTAAGTTTTATCAGATTTATGGAAGAATAACTGACCATCACTCTGCTTTTTCTTACAATTTGCTCTTAATAAGCGAAAAAAGGATTGCACTCAAACTCTTTATTTTCTTTACAAAACTGCTTCCCCACTCAATCACCTACCCCCTTTATCGCTAACTGCAAGCAAACACTGCCTATTGTCTGCACAGAGTTTGTTGTTTATGTTGGTGGTTTTATTTTCCTTTCTTCTTTCCTTCTCTCTCTTGTCCCTACTTTCCTCTTAACCTTGGAGGATCGTCGAAACAAGACAGCAAAGGAAATAGTTGTGCAGACATATCATTTCTTACCTCTCTCCCCTCCAAAGAGCTTAGCTCAGGGGTTAATGTTTTAAATTTAAACACTGTGGCGAAAGTAACCTCGCCACTGGTTTTTGGAGGGGCCTGTTAACCAGCCTCCTGCCCTGCGACTATAGCCCTGGGAAGTATTGCCCTTCTAGGAACTGATGTAGGCATACTTGATTTTATTATGCTGCTGCTGGCCCTTTAAGAACCATCTCGGGACATACTGTGGGTGGCCACCATTTCATGTATCAGAAGCACATGGTGAGAACAATGGATGAAGCACATGGTGAGAACAATGGATGGCGGCCATTTTAACTCACAGACACTGTTTGGACTTTTCTACACAGTGCCATCTCGCCGGAATTTGGTGCACAAATACATCGTGCAGTAGTTTTAAACTGTACAACAGAGGACACATTATACAGTAATTATTTTTCATATAGCCTGTATATGTTCTGTGGAATCTGCATTAAACTTTATCTTCCAAACTACTGAACGGATCTGGGTGAATTTTGGAAATGTGGTTCACCCAGATCCCCCAGTTCTGAGGATTTTTATGGGGTTATTGCATGATGTGATGTGTTTTATAATACTGTATTTCTCTGCCTGCGATAATTATATTAACCATTGTGTTCAGTAATCATATCACAGGCAGAGGGGAGAATTTTGTGTGGGAGTGTCTGTGTGTATTGTATGGATTGATTGGTTGTATTTCAAAACCCTGTGGGCAGTACTATGTTTGTGGATTGTGAATAAAAGAGGCTGTATGTGCCAGTACAGGCAGTTCTACTTCACTCTCAATCTAGAGTCCTGTCTCTTATTGGGGGAATTGCTATATCACTACAAGGGATTGCTATGCTCTGCATACTCCCTTAGCTAATCACTACTAAGCTCTTTTAAGAGCTTGTTCCTGCTTCACTCTCTTGGAGGAGAGGTTCACCCACTGGAACCTGGAGCCTTGTCATAGGTCCAGGGTGGGTAGGAGACGACGAGACCCCAACCAAGCTGCAGCGGTTAGTGGGGTCTGCGGTGGTTGTGGTGTCTGGTAGAGTGCTTGGAGCCCTCTGTAAGCACTAGGAGCATCCTTCAACACTTACTCACCATTGTCTTGGGGTTGACGGTGGTGTTTTTTATGTTCAATGTTATGAATGTTCATTGGAAACGTTGCTTGTTTATGTTTATGTTTTTGTATTTGCTCAAAAACTATGAAGGACCCAAAAGGACATAGATTGAAAAATTATATCTTATTAAATGGTTATGTTTTTTTTTGTTTTTTTTCATTGAAGTAGAGGGTCTTAACTCTCCCACCAAATGTACAATGCTTAGAAATTTATTAAAAAAGGAAAACATAGACAAATGTTTTCTTCAAGAAACACACTGGGAAAACAAAAATAAACAGAAATATGACACTAACTTAGGAAAACAATTTAATTTCATTATACATGCTTCTCTAGAAAATTCAAAATCAAAAGACGTAACGATTGTTATATGTAAGAACATAAAACTTGAAATCCTGTACCAGGAATGCGATACTGAGGCAAGATTCATTATTCGATAGTTGGAGACTATTGCAAGGACTATACACACTTTCCATCCAGCCATTGCTCCTACCCAAGAATAGATATGATCATGGGCAATATAATGTCAGCACAGTCTATAAGCAAAGCTATAATAAACATGATTACATGGTGATATCACAATGCCATCATATGGTCTCGTAAAGAAAATTTGACAAGGATTGCCATGTCGGATTGGAGGATAAATGATTACACACTACACGATGTGGATAACATAAATCTTATAAATATTGCACTTACAAGATAAAGGTATTAGATAAGCACATAACAAAGACTTAAAAAGAATGATGATGTAGTTAAAAAACCTTCTAAAAATACCAGTCCCAATAAATTGAAAATATATGAATTAATATAAGAAATAAGGGGTGAAAAAATGAAAATAAAAAATAAAAATAATTACAAAAAAACAGACCAAATCAAAATCTACATTAAGGCCCCTAGGTTGCAGAGACTGCAACCTATGGATTCAAAAACCCTCTCTCTGTCTCAGTTTCATCATTAAGTCTCCACCTCTGTGGTCTAGAAAAACCTGTTCTATAGCGATACATCTTAAAGTATTCATGTTGAATTTAGGGCATTTTGAACAATGTACAGGAACCAAGTGGGTCTGCATCCTTTTCCTAATGTTATTCTTATGTTCTAAGATTCTAGTTTTTACTTTTCTACTTGTCCTTACAACATATTGCATGCCGCAACCACACTCCAGTAGGTAAACAACATGAGTAGAAGAACAAGTAATTACATTTTTAATTTTAAATATCTCCTTAGTTTGATTACTTTGGAATTTTATAACAGCATTATATTTGTGGTTACAGCCTTTGCAGCTGCCACAAGGAAAAAAGCCTTCTTTTCGGTTTTGTACTAGAGATCTTGTAGAGTAAAAAGTGCTAGGTGCCAGAATATTTTTAAAATTAGTTCCTTTCCTAAAAATCACTTTTGGGTTATGGGGTAATTGGTGTTTCAAAAAGTCATCTTCCAAAAGTATCCCACAATGTCTCCTAATAATCCGTTGAACTTCAAATGATTTAGAGTTAAAACAAGTATTAAACGCAAATTCATAACCAGAATTCACAGAAGAACCTTTCTTTTTGTCTAAAAGTAACTCATTTCTATTCAAATTGCCAACTCTTTTTATTTCGGCATCAAGGAGGTCCTCCGAGTAGCCCTTATCTAAAAAGCACGCCTTGAGAATATTGGCCCGTGTATAAAAAGAAGCGCAATCACTACAGTTCTGGCGGATTCTAATAAACTGGCTCTTCGGAACTCCTTTTAGCCAGCACGGATGATGGCCACTCCTGATGTCAATAAAACTATTAGAGTCGATGAATTTTAAAAAGGTTCTCATCTTACTTGTAGCATTCTCTATGTAAATGGTAAGGTCCAAAAAAGTCAATCTGAGTAGGGCCAACTGTTGGGGTAAAAACAAGCGACATAGAATTGTGATTAACAAAATTGAAAAAATCATTAAGGCTATCCAAAGAACCCTGACATATAATTAAAATATCAATGTACCGCCTCCAGAGCACCAAGTTTGCACCAAAAGGGTTGTTAGTCCAAATGGACCTCCTTTCCCAACTATCCATAAAAATATTCGCATATCTTGGTGCAAACTTGGTGCCCATGGCGTTACCCTTGATTTGTAAAAAGAATTCCTCATTAAAATTAAAAAAAGTTGTGGGTTAAAATGAACTGAATGGATTTAATAAGAAAAGTACCAAGGTCTGGGTCTATTTTCTCATCATTAATCAAATTTTCCCTAACTGCTTCTACGCCAGTGGCATGGTCAATGATTGTATATAATGTTGTCACATCCAATGTAGCCCATATATACTCGCTCTGCCATTCTATTGAATCAAGCTCTTGAATAAGGTGATTTGTATCTTTTATATAAGATTGGGCATTCTGGGCATATTTTTGTAAATAAAAATCAATGTACTCTGAAAGTTTTGAGGTTAAAGAGTCAATGCCACTTATTATTGGCCTGCTCGGTGGATTCTCCTTGCACTTGTGAAGCTTAGGGAGGAAATAAAAAGTGGGAATTTTGGGGAACTCAACAAACTGAAAAAAATACGCAGATTCATCAATTAAACCCTCATTTCTAGCTTCATCCAATAAATATTTCAATTCTAAATGAAATTTAGAATTGGGGTTAATTTTTAATCTTTCGTATATCTGAGTGTCACCTAACAGTCGATAAGCTTCTTTTAAATAGTGCGTTGATGACATAACAACTATGCCTCCCCCTTTGTCCGCACTCTTAATCATTAGATCTGTCTTCTGTTTTAGAGTTTTTAGTGTATCACTTTCTACCTTCGTTAGGTTTTTACAGTTTCGAGATTGTCTTTTTCAAAATCGATAATGACTTCCATGAGGGTTATAGCACATTTTTCAAGTGCTTGATCCCAACGGTCTGCATGCCTAGATTTCTCTAGGCCATTGGCCGGTAGTTTCTCCAATCTCAACCCTCTAGGGATTAAACCCTCTTTTAAGTATGATTTAAAAAAATACTTCCCACCACTTTTTGGTTTCTCTAAAAGAAAGTTTTTCTAATTTATAAAAAATGTCATCAATATTGTTATTCTTATTTTGAGTTTTTTCTGGTTCATTAAGGAAAAGTAATTGAAATTTAGCTGTTATCATTTCTCTTAAACTCTGAAATGAACGCATAGTAAAATTATATTACAAACAGATAATTAGTGGTGAAAACTGCAAAAAGGAGGAACAAATATACAGATGTACCATGTATAGCAGAAACAACTTAGTGGGAAAAGGAGAAAAAAGGTCAAAAAAGTACTTTTACCCTGGTTTTTGATTGTTTTCTCCTGAAGAAGTTCAGTTCTCTGAACAAAATGTGTAGGGCTTGCTTCCTAGTGCTAAGAGTTTCTTTTACTCCACTTTTTTATTATGTTTTATTTTATTTATTATTTTTGATGCTGCTTGAGGTTCCCATCAGTGTACATAACATCTGAAGGTGTTCCTGTGTGCTGCGATCGAGATGTCATTTTGTGATGTGCTTATCTAATACCTTTATCTTGTAAAGTGCAATATTTATTAAAGACTTATACTGTTTTTAGAAACTCTGCACTATTATTTTTTAAATTCCTCTCTCCCACATGCTGCAATCTGAAAACGAGGATACTCTACTGTGACGAAGTGCCCTTCGCCACTTGGTCCTGGAGAGGCCTACTTGCCAGCCTCCTCCCCTGTGACTATGACTCTTTCATGTATCTGGCTTTAAAGCCCCTAGTCTACCTTCAGACAGACTATTTATGTAGGCTGCTTTATTTATCTTATGTTTTAGTCACCCTGTACCCATTATAGGTGCAGGGTGTGTGTAATGTAATTGTTTATAGTGTGTGTGTACTGTGTAATGTATTGGCTGCTCTCTTGTATTGCTGAGGTTTGCTACCAACTAGGTGGGTTTGGCTATGGAGCTTGTCTAGTGCCCTCTGTTGGTAGCAACAGCAATATGCACTACCTGAATTGCAAGACTGGGTCATTTGCATATTCGGGTAGATTTGCATATTGCTAATTCTGCAGGCAGGTGAGATATTTACTGTTAAATATTGTCTCCCCCACCCCTTTAAAAATGTGCCATTGTGTTGTGATAAGTCACTGTGTGTTGCTTGATATGGTTTGACTGTTTGTGATTTTATTGAGGTTTCACAACAATGTTATTGTGGTGACCCTATTGGCTGGTCCCAAGGGAAATAAAGGTTTTGACAGTTCTTCTTGATCCCTCTAAACGTAGCCTTGTCTCGTTATTGGAGGGAGCTGTTATAATCACACTGGGGATTGCTATGCTCTGCATGCTCCCCTGAGCTTGAGTCACTTAGCTCTTTTAAGAGCTTGTTCCTGACACGCTCTCCTTGGAGGAGGCGTCTTCACCACACAGTCCTGGATGCTGGAGGTTCATACAGGGTGGAAGGAAGAGTTCTTTCCCACACAGTCCTGGAGGACAGAAGTTGACCCATGGTGGAAAGAAGACGGCGAGACTCCAGTCAAGATACGGCGGTTGCGGAGTCTGTGGTGGTTGTGGTGTCTCCTGCAGTGCTTGGAGTCCTCAGGAAGCGCTAGGAGCATCCGTCAACGGAGGGTACTCAGTCAGAGTACAAGGAGCTCCGTTACATCTACATATTATTTGATACGCCTTCAATCAAATTTGAGTTTGTGAGTGTGCATTCTACCCATTTTTATATTGTTTTAGCTACGGCAATATTGCCCTATGTTTTTCTCTTTTTGCATTGTAGTTACCTGTTATTTGGTACTTTGTATTCTGTGATTGATGACTTGGAGGAAACCTACTCTACATGCAATACCTTATCAGGGTTAACGTACTTCTTTGCCCTTTTTTCTCTTTTTACCATTAAGGTGTTTCTGCTATACGTGATAAACTCCATTTTAGACATAGTAATA